CGTCTCATTCTGCACCGTCTCATTCTGCACCGTCTCATTCTGCACCGTCTCATTCTGCACCGTCTCATTCTACACCGTCTCATTCTGCACCGTCTCATTCTGCACCGACTCATTCTGCACCGTCTCATTCTGCACCGTCTCATTCTGCACCGTCTCATTCTGCACCGTCTCATTCTGCACCGTCTCATTCTGCACCGTCTCATTCTGCACCGACTCATTCTGCACCGTCACACAGCAGAGTAGAGTTTCCTCCAGATGGAATCTGATCCACTCTGTTACTTTGTGGACGTCCTGCAGTCATGTGACAGTCGGACAGCAGCAGATACTAATGTGAAGGCTCTTGAGGAGTGTTACTGGATGCGCTCTGCCGTCTCCCTCCAGAGAGAAGCAGGCAGTTTTTCCTCAGACAGTCGGACTGTAAGTCTCCTCCCAGCAGAAAGGAAACGCCGGATCTCTTCCTCTCCTCTCTGTTTCAGGGAGTGAACCATCTGCTCTGGCAGCAGCATGTCTGAATCGCAGCTCAGTGGGTTTAACAACCTGAACAGATAACAGTATTATTCTGGGAGCATTACACTTACACATGCCTGGACCACCTGCTGTGTGAAATCTAAATGCTGCACACAGAAACATTTCCCATGACTGGAGTCAAGGTCCAGCAGTTCCTGCTTCTTCAGGAGAAACTTCGTCACCTCAGCGACGCAGCTGGACCGTGGGCTGACTGATGACCTTTGACACGGAGCTGGCTGCTGTTTTGAAACATATTAATAATGGATTTGTAAACCAGTTGATGCAACTGTTAGCATTCCCATCGTCACCGTTACCATGGACCCCCAGACTGGTCTGTGTCTGTTTATCTGAAACCAGTTTGTTTTCTGACGCCTTTCCATTAGAACCAGTCTGAGCTACAGCAGCTGGTCAGGTGGGTTTGAGCACAGAGGTCAGAGGTCAGACCGCTTATGACCAAATCAATGATTCACCACCGTTCTGATGGACACTGATGACCCAGAATGCACTTCACTTCTACAGCAGCAGGTCATGACAAAGGTCATTTCAAGAAACTTTCCTTCTAGTCACACTTTGCAGTAGATCCAGTAGATCCAGTAGATCCAGTAGATCCAGTTGATCCTGGTTATCAGTGCATAAAGTTCTGTTCATTATTTAAATTAGTTTAAGAACTTTTCTACCAAAGGAAACGAAGCAGAGTATTGAGCCACTGACTCGCAGCATTCAGTCCTCCTGGACCAGCAGGGGGCGACAGTGGAAGGAAAACTCCCCTTTAACAGCAGAGCCAAACCGGAACCAGAACCGGGCTCAGTACGAACAGCCATGTTCCTCCACAGGCTGAAGGTTTGAACCAGGGGAACTTTCTATGTTCAGCAGAAGGAGAACGAACATGTCGAATGATGGTGAAGTTTCACTGACTGGTCAGATCTCATGTTTATGTCTCGATTAGCAGTTTTCTCCTTCATTCCCTCCAAACCAGTGATGATTTCCTTTTCTACCTGTTTTGTCATCATCTGTAACATTTAAGTCCTGCAGAGATTCACACTGAGCTCCGAGGCTTCTGGGCATTTCATGAACATTTATCTGGTCTGATCTTCAGGAAATCCACTAGAATGGATGATGACTTCAAAGAGTTAGAGAATGACTTTCTAACAGCAACAGTTGCTGAGCTAAGTCGGGTGTTAGCGCACAGCTGGATGCTCCTCAGCAGTCAGCTGTTTCTTTTGATCACCTAATCAATGCATCGATCAATGCATCGATCAATACATAGATCAATGCATCGATCAATGCATCGATCAATGCATCGATCAATGCATTTTATCAGCAGCACCAGGCTGACACTTGAGTCCTCTGAAGGAACACAGGCTGTACTTACTTTACTGACATTGTTCATTCTGACTGGACTTGTCGATCAATAATTCACCTTGTTGTTTTACTGAAGTATCTGATTCTCCTTAATCATTATACTGGTGACAAAAACCTGGATTATTATTTTATTAGTTTTGTCTGCATGAAATCAACGGTGTTGATTTTAGAGTGTGCTTATATATGAGACATAAAATGGATTTGTGTTGCGTTCCTATTTTCTTGGTTTTGATGAGATTTTTGTTTTGTTTTAAAGGCTGATGCAGATATAATGAGCTGCTTCTCTTTAACTCACTTATTATTGTAATAGAAATGGGAAAGTAATGTAAAGGTTTTCTATATCTGTGATGATAAATTGCTGAATTAAAAATAACTGTTTATTTTTAAGTTGAGTGAAAATAGAAATTTTTGGAGCATTGAAAGTGTTTCTACCAAAGCACCTTATTTTGAATTATTATTATTTAATCTCCAGTGTCTCTGTCCAGCTTTAAATGCTTCAAAACGTCAGTAAAGTGGAGCAGCCGGCTAGAACCAGTCCTTCTGCTCTTCCTGTCAGTTGGTTTTAAATCTTGATGCTCACCAGAGAAACGATCTGATCCATCTTTAAGTGTCCAGCAGCAGCGCAGACGTGCAGAGAAGTTGATGCAGTGGAGGATGATGGGTAGAGTCGGCATGTTGTGTGGGCAGAGATGGATGGATGTATGGATGGGTGGTGAGAATGACAGAGAGATCCTGGAGAGAGCAGGAGAGATGGAGGGATGAAAGATGGTCCATCTGGGGGGAACGCCTCCCTCCAAACACACACACACACACACACACACACACACACACACACACCGCGGTGTCATCTGGTGTTTACCTTTCACACTGAACCGTGTGATCCAGACAGAAAGAGTCTGAGAGGAATCGGAAACGACTTTGATCTCACAGACGTCCTGGTCTGCTCTCAGGAGGAGGATTGTTTTCTGACAGGCTGTTCAGCAGCTTTTACTTGATGGTGCTAGCAGATGCTAGCAGATGCTATTCCTCTCTGATGTATCGTACATCACAGGGAAAACTAAGTACACCCTTTTCTAAGACATTTAACAGAAAAAGCATCAGCCAGGTGCTGCTGAGCAAACAGGAAGTTACCTGTAAAGACTCACTTTCTGTTTCATCAAAATGTCCAACTGACGCTGCAAACCCAAACACTTTTTTACTACAGGAAGATAATATTTAGAAATGCAGAACACCAATAAACACTGAATGGTTTGGCTTCCTTTGAAACGAGCAGCTAAGCGTTTAGCGTCGGAGTGGAAAACCGGAGCTTCCTCCAGCCGATTATTTCACTCTGTGGGTTTAGAGCAGCTGTGATCAGTTCATAGAAATAAAGAAAGAAAATCACACAGAGATTAAACGTCTTCGCTCCACACAGCTCTGGTTGATGACCTCTGACCTGCTGCGGCTAACCTGTTAGCATGTGAACCATGTGACTGCTGTGTGGACGACTTGCTGATGTTTTCTGTCCAGCTTGTACCTGTGTGGCCGGCTGTAATGACCCCAATGCTTCACATCCGTTTTCCACTTGCATCTCTGATAGCATTTCATATGCAGCAGATGTCCTAATTATGCTTTAATGAGTTTGTTTGCTGTTGCAGCTGGGAGCTTCACATTTCTACTTTTATTTTCCTCAGACAGACGCTGATCGTAGGAAAGCCTGCCGTGCGCCGACTCACTGCCTCCTTTTTGTTTTGACCAGTAAATTTATGTAATAATCCGAGGGGAACCAATTTTATTCACTTCAACGTTTTTTAAGACCTTAAAGTCACAAACAGTGGATTTCTGTTTCTGCTACATTAAGCATCACAGCACAGATCAGAAACTCAGCAGTTTGTGCAACATTAGTCACCTTTCTTTCATGCTGGCCTGAAGCCACATTAATCAAAGAAATGTTCTCCAGCTGAGCATTTCAACATCATTGAAAGTTCTTGAGATGTTTGAAATAAAGTTTAATATTTTGGTTCAACAGGAAGTTTAAGCAGTGAAGCAGAGAGATTCTGCTTGTCCTCCTGTTTACTGACCTGCTTCAATAATTGACAAAAACGACCCTGGCTGCTATTGAGCTCAGTCCATACACTCGGCCAAGCATTGCACACACACACACGCACACACACACACACGCACACACAAGCACACACACACACACACACACACGCACGCATACACACACACAGAGTTTTTATGTCCTTGTGCGGAGGACAGGGGGCGCTGGAGCGTATCAACTCCAGGTCTGCTGACTGAGTCCTTTCATTATGCAAACATCTGCTTTTAAATTCCTTCTCAAGATATTTCTGAATGAAAGAAAATCTGTATTTTCAGTCAGCAGAAATATTTTGCCTGTAATTTCCATAATCTGAGATCAGAAGGATGGTGGCGTGTTCAGACCTGCGACGGCGAGTCGCCACACAGATTTACAGAAAGAGTCTTTGTCTGATGAAATGTGAGTGTTTTTCTGGGAAATGTTTCATAATGGACTCAGTCTCTGCGTTTCTGCGTTCAATCGGTCTGAAACCAGAAACCGCCAAACTATTAACGTGAGAGCAATCCCTGAAATCTCCTCATCCTCTCACATCCATCCTGCTCCTGATTCATCCCTCGCTCTCTGACTCCAGGCCTCCATCCCATCCCTGCCCTCTCATCCACCTCACTCTTTGCCCTCTTTCTTTTCCTCCTTGCCTCATTTTGATCCCTCGCTCCCTCTCTCCGTCCTGCTGGCTCAGCTGGTATAGGAGCGGCCTTTGTTTCAGCCGTGTCCTCTATCCTTTGAAGGAGGAGAGCGGAAAGCCAGTACGAGGGAAGAACTGAGGCAGGGTAAAGAAATGATGAAATGTGGGGAAAGGAGAAAGTGGGTCAAAATGTGAAGAGATGAGGCGGATGAGGGAAGAGCGATGTCTGTGGGTCGATACTCTGGGTTGTTTGGGTCATTGATCCCAGGCTGGTTTCCTGTCCACAAAGCGAAAAGCAGCCAGTTAATTGATAATTGGGTTTCTTCTGAATTGAGTCGATGCTGCAGAACTCGGCTCTCCGCCGCTGATATAATGACGACTTTAATAAAGCAAAAACACTAAATATGACTTTGTGTTTGTTTGTAGTGAGGATTGTGGGCCGGCGGTCTGATCCACCATGCTGAGTCCCCACGGTCACATGTGAATCCTGTAACATGTGCAGAATGCTTCTACATCTCTGAAG